ACCTTAGTTGAATGAAAATGATGTATGGTTCTATGCAAATTCTGAAAATAAAATAAAATCTTATATATATATATATATATATATATATATATATATATATATATATATATATATATATATATATATATACACACACACGTGGACAAAATTGTTGGTACCCCTCAGTTAAAGAAGGAAAAACCCACAATTCTCACTGAAATCACTTGAAACCTACAAAAGTAACAATAAATAAAAATTTATTGAAAATTAAATAATCAAAATCAGCCATTACTTTTGAATTGTTGATTAACATAATTATTTAAAAAAAACAAACTAATGAAATAGGGCTGGACAAAAATTATGGTACCCATAACTTAATATTTTGTTGCACAACCTTTTGAGTCAATCACTGCAATTAAACGATTTCTGTATTTGTCAATGAGCATTCTGCAGCTGTCAACAGGTATTTTGGCCCACTCCTCATGAGCAAACTGCTCCAGTTGTCTCAGGTTTGATGGGTGTCTTCTCCAAATGGCATGTTTCAGCTCCTTCCACAGATGTTCAATGGGATTCAGATCTGGGCTCATGGAAGGCCACTTTAGAATAGTCCAACGCTTTTCTCTCAGCCATTCTTGGGTGTTTTTGGCTGTGTGTTTTGGATCGTTGTCCTGTTGGAAGACCCATGACCTGCGACTGAGACCAAGCTCTCTGACACTAGGCAGCACATTTCTCTCCAGAATGCCTTGATAGTCGTCAGATTTCATTTTACCTTGCACACATTCAAGACACCCTGTGCCAGATGCAGCAAAGCAGCCCCAAAACATTGCTGAGCCTCCTCCATGTTTCACCGTAGGGACAGTGTTCTTTTCTTCATATGCTTGGTTTTTGAGTCTATGAACATAGAGTTGATGTGCCTTACCAAAAAGCTCCAGTTTGGTCTCATCTGTCCAAAGGACATTCTCCCAGAAGCTTTGTGGCTTGTCAACATGCATTTTTGCAAATTCCAGTCTCGCTTTTTTATGATTTTTTTTCAGCAGTGGTGTCCTCCTTGGTCGTCTCCCATGAAGTCCACTTTGGCTCAAACAACGACGAATGGTGCGATCTGACACTGATGTACCTTGGCCTTGGAGTTCACCTTTAATTTCTTTGGAGGTTGTCCTGGGCTCTTTGGATACAATTCGAACGATCTGTCTCTTCAATCTGTCATCAATTTTCCTCTTGCGGCCACGTCCAGGGAGGTTGGCTACTGTCCCGTGGGTCTTGAACTTCTGAATAATATGAGCCACTGTTGTCACAGGAACTTCAAGCTGTTTAGAGATGGTCTTATAGCCTGCACCTTTAAGATGTTTGTCTATAATTTTTTTTCGGATGTCCTGGGACAATTCTCTCCTTCGCTTTCTGTTGTCCATGTTCAGTGTGGTACACACCTTTTCACCAAACAGCAGAGTGACTACTTGTCTCCCTTTAAATAGGCAGACTGACTGATTATGAGTTTGGAAACACCTGTGATGTCAATTAAAGGACACACCTGAGTTAATCATGTCACTCTGGTCAAATAGTTTTCAGTCTTTTATAGAGGTACCATCATTTTTGTCCAGCCCTATTTCATTAGTTTGTTTTTTTTAAATAATTATGTTAATCAACATTTCAAACGTAATGGCTGATTTTGATTATTTAATTTTCAATAAATTTTTATTTATTGTTACTTTTGTAGGTTTCAAGTGATTTCAGTGAGAATTGTGGGTTTTTCCTTCTTTAACTGAGGGGTACCAACAATTTTGTCCACGTGTGTATATATATATATTGTTAAGATGGGGACAAAGACCAAAACCAATACTGGATGGCTCTGATCTTCAGGCCTTCACGCAGCACTGCATTAAAAATAGACAGGACTCTATCGTGGAATCCCTGCTTAGACTCTAAGCCACTTATAAAAATCTTTGGAAACATGTTAAATTATTTATTTATTTTCTGCATTCACAAGTTTAGGTTAAATTAGGTCAGGTTGCCCATGTAATGAATGTTAAAAGTGGGGAGCATCTTAGTGCTCAACAATCTTTGTTAGATACGGGGGCATTGGGGGTACCAGGAGGTCAGGAGCATGCGTAGGAAACATCTGCTATCGTTGTTGAGGAGTAACTGTTTTCAGATAGTCTCAGCTTCCATAAAAAACTGAATATCTCTATCGGGGGAGGTGCAACTAAAGTCCCAATGATGGCCTCTGGTTGATAGAGTCTCTATCTATGCATGTGAGCAGGGTGCAGCCAATGTCACTCCTAACAAGCAAATGACTAAATACACTAAAAGTTCTTGCGTGAAAGATGAAGTGCATTAAGTTTGCCAAACCCAGGATAAAGGTTTTCTTACCATACTGGCTTTCAGTAAAACCACATGACACTGCGGCTGATAGGAGGACTTCATCAGCTCCAGGATGTCAGTTTGTTAAACTCCTTCATCCTGCTTTGAAAGATAGTCAGAGCCTATTTTTTCCATGGAGACATCCAGCTCTCTGGTGTGTTGGCTACACTCATAACAGGCTGCTCTCCTAGGCCTCTCACAAAAATAAGCACCTATTGTTTTCATCAACCCATTAAAGGGATGTAAAGATAAGCAACGCTGTGCCAATAAACATCCATTACATAAGACAACTTGGCGATATCTCTAATAACACAAAGATGCAAGATGTCTTAACAAACTGGTGAAAAAGGCTGGCTCTGTGGTAGGACTCAAGCTGGACTCTGTGGATGATGTGGTGGAGAGATCTACACTGAGGAAGGTGGAGACTATTCTAAAAAACACCCACTTCACAACACCTTGATGGACCAAAGGGCCAGTGGTGGTGGAGGGCTCCTCTCTCTTCGCTGCAGGACAGAAAGATTCAGAAGATCTTTTGTAGCAACAGCCATCAGACTTTATAACTTTTATGTAAATAATAGATAACCTTTGGAGACATATTACGTGAGACAACAGACAATTGAATTTCCCTTCGGGGGGTCAATAAAGTTCTTCTTAATATGACTTGATACACAAACAATTCAGCAATGTCATATTTAAACACTGGAGGTGTGTTTAGTTTATTATCTACAGATTAAAGTTATCATTTTACTGCTGACATAGAGCAAAGATAGAAGAAATTGAAACAGATTGTCAGCAATTGCAGCGTAGTAAATATATTTCCTTGATTCCAAAGTATGGGCCACTTTCCGAAAATTCAAGGTTTATGGCGCTTTTTGTCAGTGTAAAAGTAGATGAGAAAAAAAACAAACAACAGCAACAAAAAAGAATGGTTTCAAATTGGCTTTCTTGTTTTTATATAATTTTGTCTCTTAGATGTGGGAGCCCATGCTGCCATGTAAAACTTCACCTTAAGGCCGGTTGGCACTGTAATAGCTAAGCTTGACACATTACCAGTTTCCAGTCCCACTATATTCCCTCCTTGTTTGTGTACAGGAAACCAAAGCAACTCAGCGAAACGAAACATCTTTTTTATTTTTTTATTTGGTGATATTGTAACGGCGTCAGTTATAATTGCTGCAGTATCTCTCTCGATCTGTGTGTGTGTGGGCTGTGGGCAGGTAGAGAGAGAGGGAGGGGGGCAGTGTTCCGGGGTTATTGGGAAGTGATCCGGAAGTTGTAGGCACTTTGTAGTTATTGGTGGGTTTTTGAATGAGATGCCTGTACAAGTCCGAGTCTGAATAAAAACAACGCCAGAAGACCAGTCCTGTGTCGGACCTGTTTTTGAGAAGCGTTACATTGGTGTCAGAAGTGACTTCGAACACAAGAAGACACTCGGTGGGACTTTTTTTGTCTTCCGTGGTGCTTTTGAACTGCTAGTCGCTATTAGCCGCTATTAGCCCGTCCGCGCTATGGATGCTAAGCGGGGGAAGAAGGTAAAGTCGGAGGTGACATCCGACGACGATGGCGCGGCTGCTGGAGGGTGGATGGATGGCCACACCAGTGAGCTCCAGACGGCTACAATCGAGGCGAGACGTCAGCTGAGAGAGGCGACGGTGAGGATGGCGAGACAGGCCGGCTTATCGCCGACATCGGCGGTTCACGCCGCTACGCGACCAACCCGAAGTGACGCACCGCGCTACACCGGAAGTGCCCTCCCGGTGCCGGTTGGTGGTGCAGATGGGGACGCTCCTTGCCCGGCAGTGGCTTCTTTAGTGAAGGTCCCCAAGTTCTCTGGTAGAGCTGACTGGGAAGCTTTCCTAGCACAGTTCGAGCTGCTTGCTCAGGCTGGAGGCTGGTCGGCGGACACAAAGGCGCTGCAACTGGCTTTGTGCCTCACAGATGATGCTTCGTCCTGTCTACTGCTGCTGAGCCCAGACGAAAGACGTGACTATGGGGCCCTGGTGGGGGCGCTACAGAGGCAGTTTGGTCAGTGTCAGCAGCCAGGTCTCCTCAGAAACGAACTGAGTAAGCGGAGCAGGAGGGAAGGGGAACCCCTGCGGATGTTGGCTAGTGAGATCGAGATGCTGACAAGGCGGGCATATGCCCACATGCCCCCCGGGGTACAGAGCGAGCTGGCCCGTGATCGATTCATAAGAGCGCTTCACCCCAAGGAGCTGCGGGTGCAGGTACAGCTCCAACACCCACAGACACTGCGGGCAGCTCTGGAGATGGCGTTGGAGAGGGAGAATGTGTGGGGTGGGGATGGAGCTGGCGGGCAAGAGGGGGGCTTGCTCGCTGTGAGGTCGACATCAGGCAGCCGCCCGAGTGAGGGGAGGCCTGCGTGGGTGGATGAGGTGACTGGACTGATCAGAGCCGTGGCGCTGCAGGCGTCGAACACACCTCACCCAGAGCCCAGGGTCTGCTGGGGGTGCGGCCAGACGGGTCATCTGCGGAGGGGGTGCCCCAAGACCCGCAAGTCGCAGGGAAATGGCCCGGGGACTGCATAAAAGGGGATATGCGGTCCCAAACACCTGCCCCTTTGGAACCACGACCGCTACCGCACCTGCCGCCGCTGTGTGACGCCCCACCTCAGGAGGAGCAGGCCCCACCTTTCCCCGGAGCAGTTGGCTCAGATTATTTGGGATGGGAGCCAGTGGTCGCAGTGGGGCGGGCATCGTCAGGAGACGCCTGCTACATTACTGTATTGGTGGAGGGGGTGCCCTGTCCAGCGCTAGTGGATACAGGCTCAACAGTGACTGTGGTGAGGCCAGATGTGCTTCCAGAGGGAACCCAGCTGGAACCCACCTTGGTGCAGTTACGCACAGTTACAGGGGAGCTGGCTCCCATGAGGGGCAGAGGACTGCTGCTGGTGACGGTAGGAGAGAAGACACTCCGTCACCCTGTCTGGGTGGCTGCCGTCCAAGACCCGTGTATCCTGGGCCTGGACTTCATGAGAGCGACGGGCTGCCAACTGGATTTCCTGAGAGGGACTGTGAGCTTTCTAGGGGGCCCGTCAATCACACTGTTTCCTCGTTTCCTGCCCCATTCACCCCCCACTGGTCCAACAACCAACACAGCGGAGACGGTGGCGGCCCCTCCTGCACCGGGACTTTTGTCTGGCCTCCCTCCTCCACAGTTGGTAGATCCTGACACCAGCCTCAGCAGGGATCTTCTCTCGGCCCCACCACCCGCGTCCCTCAGCCGAGAGGAAGAGAGGGTGTTAGCGGTGGTGAACCAGATCTGGGAAAAGAACTGTAGCGGCCTGGACACGCAACAGCGGGAACAGCTGTGGCAGGTGCTGCTGCAGTTCAGAGACTGTTTTGCCCTTAGTGATGAGGAAGTGGGGAGAACCCACCTCCTGCAACATGAAATCGACACCGGGGAGGCGCAACCCATCAAGTGCCGCCCACGGCGTCTTCCTCTGGCACGGCAGCAGGCTTGTGACGAGGCCGTGGAGAAGATGCTGCAGGCAGATCTCATTGAGCCTTCAGACAGTCCGTGGGCAGCAGCTGTCGTCAGGATGCCAAAGAAAGTGGTGGGGTGGCGCCTCTGCTCGGATTACAGACCGGTGAATGGAGTAACCAGGAAGGATTCCTACCCCCTCCCTCGCATTGACGAGTCTCTGGACTTGGTCTCGGGGTCCTCCTGGTTCTCGTCCTTGGATCTCCGCAGTGGATATTACCAAGTGCCACTTTCACCGGAGTCCAGGCCTAAGACAGCCTTCTGCACGGGGCGGGGCTTGTGGCAGTTTAAGGTGCTCTGTTTTGGACTGTGCAACGCACCTGCCACCTTCGCCAGGCTGATGGACAAGGTGCTGGCTGGAGTACCACGTCAGCAGTGTCTGGTCTACCTCGATGACATCCTGGTTCATGGTGGCTCCTTTGATGCTGCCCTGGGGTCCCTGCAGCTGGTGCTGAGCCGAATCCGAGGAGCTGGCCTCAAGCTGCATCCAGACAAATGCCACTTCATGCAGCGGGAGGTGCAGTTTCTGGGACACAGAGTGGGGGGGGGAGGCATTGGCACCCTGGAAGAAAAGGTGCAGGCCGTGTTGGGGTGGCCCACCCCCGCTGATCAGAAGCAGCTGAAGAGCTTCCTGGGCTTAGCCTCATACTACAGAAAGTTTGTGCGGGGTTTTGCCTGCATAGCTGCGCCCCTGTTCCAGCTCCTGCAGAAGGACACGGACTTCGTTTGGACTGAAAAGTGCCAGGAGGCTTTCACCTGCCTGCAGCGGGCCCTGAGCGGAGCACCAGTGCTGGCGCCGGCTGACCCTGCCTTGCCCTTCATCCTCCATCATGCGAGCGGCGTGGGGGTAGGTGGCGTGCTGTCCCAGGTGGGGCCAGAAGGGGAGAAGGTGGTCGCCTACTTCAGCCGGGCCTTCAACAAGCACGAGAAGAGATACTGCGTTACCCGCAGGGAACTCTTGGCAGTCGTGCTGGCCATCAGACACTTCAGGTATTACCTGTGTGGCTTGGTGTTCACAGTAAGGACAGA